TTGTACCAACGAAGATAATAAGCATAAAAATTTCAGTTCCATTTACTTAAAGATTAAAGGATGAATGATTATTTTGAGCCTGAAATATATCTCTTTGGGAGGTCATGGGGCACAAACTGTATGGTTAGCCTACAACAAAAGTAGATGGTACCTGATTCCATGTCCAGGTCCGCAAAAGATTCTCTTCATCTTAATATTGGAGGTACCATTGACAATTGAGATGCAATCATCCCCTGAAGAAACACAATGCATCAGTACCTTTTGTTGAAATATGAATGCGCTGTGGCTGTGCACCTTTCACTTGGAGGAACTTGGTCATGCATGCGTGAGATTTATTTCAAGTTAAGTGTACTCACTTGTTTCCCATCGCTTACTGCTCGGGTTATCTACTCAAAGATTATTTTTTTCTCAACTACTATGTTACAGGATGATATTCATTTCCCATATAACCATTTTGGTTTCATTTTTATTCCAGTTCCTGCCTTTTGAGCTATGAAAAGTGAGATGCGAAATGATGTTGACGAAAGCTTAAGAACCTGTTCCAATTTTGCAGTCTTGGAGAACCACATTGGTAGAGGAAGTGATATGGATTCCATCAGTGTTGGGGCTGTCTCCTGGAGCCGAGACTTGTACTGCATTAACTCGCACTGAGTCACACTGTGAGATGACAAAGTTCATTTGTTGGCCGTTCCTGATCTTGAGGCCTTTTACCTTTACAGCTGAGCTCTTATCAATAGTCAATGCCTGCAATAAAAACCTCAACTTCAATTCTATCCAGTGATCATGGTCCCATATAATTTGAATGATTTCTTTTTTCGAACTACGGTTGTAAATAAGGGAAAGGTACATACTGTTGGTGCCCCTCTGCAAGGCTGTAGAAAAGGGAAGAGACAGGTAGATAAATTAATGTCAAATTGTTAATGATCATTTCCTGAATTGAAGTACTTGGATACGGTAGAAACTATAAAAATCCAAAAACATACATTTGTCTTGTTCTTTTTGCAGGATGAGGCCCACCATTTACTGCCTGAGCCATCAATAACTCCATGCCCTTGGAAAAGGACTCCATTCAATTTAGAAAAATCAAGCCATGCTCGTGAGAATTTTGGATCCCAGTCATTAGGCTCATCTGGTGCTACTATAGTTCCATCAATCTGTTAATCAATCGTACCATTTATAAACATGAACATTGTCTTACATTGTAAAGAGTTATAAAGAGATGGAATATGAAGAGTTATCATTGATGATGAGAAAGCGAAACAAATCTAAGAAAGGTAGATGTTCGTTTAGACGTGAACATTGTATTACAGATTACCTGGATGACTAGGTTATCTTTGCACGGCCCTTGAAATTTTGTTGCATTTACTAGATACTGGCGTCCCTGGGGTACCAAGAAAACCGATTGTGTTGTAGAGCAGGCAATGTCCCAGGCTTTTTGGAAAGCCTAAAAATAATGGCATTGTAGAAGAATAAATGTCAACAATTATGGTAAAAGAAACAAGTTCTGGTAAATGATTTTTTCGCGGTTAAAAATTGGCAAGTTCAGACACTAAAGCTGTGAAGCGTCATGTCCTTTTTGCAATAAATTAATAAATGATGTGCACTTGAATGACAAAAAATGTGCAAATATACAACTGTGTATACTCACCTGAGTATCATCAGAAATTCCATCTCCAACTGCACCAAAGCTATCCACATTAACAAGAACCTTGCAACCACGTTCACTTGTCCATGACGGGATGTCGAAAACGTTCACCTCATTGTCTTCCTCAATGTCAAAGCTTTCAAGCTCATTAAGTACGCCAATGTTGGCATATACCATGTTTCCTGAAACTCCATAAACTGCCATCAGCATACCAAGAAAGGAAACCATGAATAATTTATCCATGTTTGTCTTTTCTGTTGTTTTGCAGATTGATTGATTTGTATAATTTCAATGAACAATGGGTTATAATTTATATGTATAGATTAGTTTAAGGGTTTTCTGGCTTACATGGCTTGCCTTGGAAGTAGATGAAGATGTTACATTTTCTACAAGCCCACACTTAAAGCAAGGGAAAATTTGTTCTTTGCTTTACTCTTAAATCAGTGCACAAAAATGCACTAGTAATAGTGTTCATGGATTCAGCCTGTGGCATCTCTTTCAGCAAAAAGGAAAGAAAAACTGAAATCTGCAAAGTGCAATACTTTCAGGGAAATGAGAATTTGATGGATTTGAAATAATAATAACAATAATGTACAGTTACAACAAAATTAAATGAATTTCTTACTAGGAAGAAAAATGTAAAAGAAAAGGTCAACGAGTTAGTTATACCAAACACAAGGTCACAGATGCATATTATTTTATTCACTGCATGCGCACCAAACGCTTCACCCAGAAAAAGATATAAAAAGAAGTATAAAACACTACGGTAATAATAATTCTATTGACGGAGACTACACCTTACAAGCAGGGGGCAGCTTCTTGAAATTGTTGCTGAAGAATCTGGGGGTCAATGAAGAATCTGGTCAGGTGGTTCCATCATTTCAAGATCTCAATCGTACGGTGAGTGTTTAGCTCGACCAAACTGTGACCCATCTCCCATTTCACTTTCCGTGCTGTTGCAATTTCCCTCATTTGCATTGCAATGTCAAACTCTCCAATTTCAGAGTAGAAGTTTGAAGCTTGCAACCAAATATCAGGATCTTCAACGTCAAGCTCCAACAAAGTTTTAACTGTTCGCCTTCCCACTAGTTCATTCTTGTGTACCCTACAACTTCGCAGCAATGAGCTCCACATAACACAGTCGCCATTTCCTGGTGCCTGTTGCAGCAACTCTTCAGCTTCATCTAGCAAACCTGCCCGGCCTAAAAGATCAACCATACATGAAAAGTGCTTTCTGTCGGGAGAAATCCCATATAGATTTTTCATTGAATCAAACAGAACTCTTGCTTCTTCCACCAGCCCTGAATGGTTGCACCCGCTTAACACACCCAAAATTGTCACTTTATCAGGTTTCAGGCCCTTTCTGATCATTGCTTGGAGCAAATGAAGACCTTCACTTCCCATTCCATTTCGGGCATATCCGTGTATTATCGATGTAAAACAAACTGCATTAGGTGAAGGAAGTTCTTCAAAGACCTGGCGAGAAAGCTTGACATGGCCACATCTCGCATATGCATCGATGAGTGAACATGAAACCACGATGTCAGATTCAAAACCTGATTTTATTGCACAACAGTGTACCAATTTGCAGCTGCCCAAACTTGCCATGGCAGATGCCGATAAAGCTTTCAGGGTCGTAGATAGAGTAACCTCATCAAGCCCAATTCCCTCATCAACCATCAAACCAAACATCTCCACCACATCCTCAATAACACCACAGTGCAACAAAGAGGACATTAATGAATTACAACACTCCAAAGTTTTCTCATGAACACTTTCATATATGGACACAGAACTCTCAATCTCACTGCATTTCCCGTACATATCAATCAGAGCAGATTGAATATGAACACTCCCACCACGATCAAAACCTGATTTCACAACATAAGAGTGCATCTGCTTTCCAAGTTCAATATTCCCAGTCCTACTAGCTAAATTCAAAAACCCAACAAAGGAACGGACTGATGGCCTCTTCTCCCAGCACTGCATCTTAGCAAATAATTCAAGAGCATCAAGCAGTAAACCATTTTCGGTGTAGACACAGACAATTGAATTCCATGAAATCACATCCTCCGTTGGAATAGCTTTAAATGCTTCTGTTGCATCAATCAAACTCCCACAAGAAGAGTATAAATCCACCAGAGCATTGGCAACAAATACATTCGACTCTACCCATCCGTCCTTAACAACATAGCAATGTAGCTGCTTTCCTTCATCTAAGAGCCTCCCATTACTGCATGCGCGAATCAAATAACAGTAAGTTAGACCATTTGGTTCGACACCATCCAATTTCATCCTAGAATACCTACCATATAGCTCATCCACCCTACCCAATTCACAAAACCCACGTAACAACAAATTCCATATGGCTAAGTTTCGGTCAGGCAACTCATCGAACAACTTCAAAGCTACATTATCTAGTCCCATATGCAAATAAAGGTCAACAAGGGAGCTCCCCACATACAAATTCAAGCTGAACCCAAATGAGACCACCCTGCAATGAGCTTGAATTCCTTCTCTACAAAACCCTGCGTCAACACAAATACCCAAAACAGAAGAAAACGTCGAAGCACTCTCTCTAATTTCTTGTGAAACCATTTCAGTATAGAGGTGAAAAGCCTGTTCTGGAAACCCATATCGGCCGTGCCCAGAAATTAACAAGTTAAAGGTAACGACGTCGTATACAAGCATTTCATCGAACCAGTTGAGGGCAGAGTTCAAGTCCCCGTATTTGATAAAGCTGTCTATTTTCCGGTTGTTGAAGTAAACATGGTCTTGAGCACTGGGTTCGTAGTACGAGTCTAAATGCGGAGATGAGGTGGATGAGGTTATGGCTACGTTGAAGTTTGGTGCAAACGTCGTTTTGAAACGTACAGAAGATAGCAACCTAGCAATTCGCATTGCCCATGCGCCTTTCCGAAGTGAAATTGACGACATTCGAGAATCTAAATTATGGTTCGTATTAATCATTGACCATTTTAATTACCCTCGCTGTCGTGAAAGGAATTTTGACTATCTGCAAAGACACCTTCTTTCTTTGACCTAACAAAACTTGGTAATATCCCCAAACAACAAAGTTAAGGGCTTTGCTTAGCTTGCAAATTGCTTCTAATCAGTACAATTCCCACAAGATACAGTAATGTCACCAACTTGTCTTCCAGTCCAAACCAAACTGTAAAGAAAAAGAATCAAAATCATGGAAAATCTGCACGTCATGCTAATACAACTTTCTTATCTTCGATCCACTTGCAGACACTCGATTCATTTTAGAAATTAAAGCCAGACATACGCAGATTGAAAAACACATGATGTACTTGGAAAAGGAATGATCAGACAAAGTGGTAGCAAACACTAGTACACCATCACACGATAGAGCTGAAATTTTTACATATATAATGACATTCCTGGACAAGAGGACAGCAATTTCCCTCACCGAAAAAGCAAACAGCAATAGACTTTCATATAGATTATTTTACTATTGTAATGATATTAACACCCTTGATTTACATTTAGCAGCAGATGGCAAGAAAACGCAAATAGAAGCATTCAGATCATTAACATTAACATGTTGCTGCAATAGCCTCCAAAAGGGAGGCCACAAAGCGCATCTGAGTTTCTTCGTCAATTCTTGAAAAGAGAGGAACATGGACAAAAAGAGATTTGTGACCCTTTTCTTCAGCGAAATGAAGGGAATGATAGTAGACATAATTGCACACGAAACGCCCTGCATCATCTGATATTGCCACATCATATCCTTTCTTCTTCAAGATCTTATGGATTGCCTCCATCGAGCAAGAAGTCTTCAAGAACCAAATGGTGGAAATGTTAGCAGACATGGACACGTTGAGGGCGAGAAACAGTATGGACTACTAATTTGTTAATATGATAATTTTACAGCAAAACTTTCTAGGGTAAGCAGCAGTTCCCCTTTCAGTTCTAATTAGAACTAGTAGAATAACTGGCAAGACTACTTCAGCCACAACTCATCTAACAATTTATTTGTTGGATTAATTAAGCACAGTAGTATGTGACAATAACATTACTTATTACACAAATCAATGTTAAAACCTGCACAATTGAGGCCTTTCCCTCATTTCCGCAAAATGCAAATTCAGCACCATCTCAAACTATACGTTGAAGTCCCTCCCTAAGTAGTGATGAACTCACAACATATCAAAATTCTCACAGGGAACTTTTTTTTTTCCCATCATAATGGTCAATGAACTGCTCACTAAAGAATGAAAAACTTTTTTACTTTTTATGAATAACATTGCAAACAGATTATACAAGTACCTCTCTTGCTCTAGAAGTTCCTCCATCCTCGGTGATTATTGGCAGTTGCTGGAAAAGGAAAAAAAAATTAAGTTCAAGAAAAAGTGAAGATAATATAAACAGTGGTAAATAAAATAAACAATACACCATTAAAACACAAATAGCCACACCCACCTGAGGTTGCCATCCAAACTCATCTGGACAACGGAAAGTGGCTTCATTTATCGCTTGCCGCTCAATAGCAAATTTCAGAGCCCCACTATTCACCCCCAAGTGAAGCTGAAAAAGCAATGAAGGTTAAGTATTTTAACAAAATACTGGGGACTGAAACTAGCATACTGCTTCTGCATAATCATCCTTTTAAAATTTCTATTGCAAACTGTTCACACAATTTCATAAAATTAGCCATAAGATCATTGTTCAAAAGATTTATCTGCAAAGCAACAAAACCTGACGAGAAGACTTTGGTGAGGCACATTAACTTTAAGGCAAGTTAGATATCAATGTTTTAGCCTTAAACTTTGGCTACATATGATTGATTCATGGCAAGGGAGTGGCTAGATCATTGTAGTATAATGATGATCGGAACTGAAAGGTCTATTAGATTCAGCGTTTAACAAAAGCAGCTAAACAATGAGAGAACAAAATGTCCTCTAAGTCCTCACAAAGCAGACATTCTCATAGGCCAAACAAGCCAATCATAAGGGGAGTTCAATAGATGCATAAAATTTATACTGTAAGCTAAAAGGAACTAATTTTGTGACTGGTGACAGAGTCCATCTATTCCCAAAGACAATAACTTTTCTGGACATAATAATAAAGATGATAAGGAACAAGCAATGAATTAATTACTAAATCTAAGATATGTGTTTGGAATCACTAACAGATTGTGTTTTAGGAACCAACTAGCTCTTGATCTAGTGGTATTTCTCTTCCAAATGTTGGAAGAGGTCCCAAGTTCGAATCTCCCCACCCGCATTGATGGGAAAAAGAAAAAAAAAATACTGGTTTAGGACTTCCAAGAAATCTATAGTGAGGGCCTTATATATGGCCCTTAGGTGAGGCCCTATCTCTTAACTGTTGGATCATGCTAACCAATTTGATGCAACGGCTAACCAATTTGATCCAACGGCTAATCAATTTGATCCAACGGTTACGAGATAAGGCTTCACCTAAGGGCCATATATAAGGCCCTCACTATAGAATGACTCTTAGGACTTCATAAGAGTTAGTAACTTCCCTAGTAGTGTTCAAATCACTGAGGTCCCGTCCTATAATTTACTTTAAGGGCATCCTGGAGAACACCATTCAAGGCCAGCCTAACTCCTGAGAATATTTCTGAATTCTTTTGAAACCAATGAGTCCCCAATATCCCAAACATGTCCAATTCCTAGGCTAGACCCCGTCGAAACACAGTCAGAGAATAGCATTTAACTTTTCAAAATGGTTTGGAATTTTTAACTTTTAATTTTTGACCATTCAAACCTCCAAAGGGAAAGTCAATTTTGCAATCATATTTGAGACACTGACCCATACGACTTGTTCATTGGTGGTAGAATCAATTGTTGAAACGCCGGAATCCATGGTCTTGTAAAGAGCAGGAAGTGCGCCATCTCCGGCGGTCTCAAGAACAGTGCAGCTGCCAAGAGTAAGACCAGCAGGCAACCCTTTCTTCTCAACAAAGCATTTTAGATTCTTAACTATAGTCTCTGTGGGATTCTCAGCAACGCCTTGGAACTTCTTGAATCCACTCACATGAATAACAACACTCTTCGGTCCTTCTGATCCCATTTCCTCGTCCTGCACTTGAATACAGTTCCCAATCTTCGATAATTCTGCTACCAACACAACAAGTTCAAATTTTCAATGCCATTAGACAATAACCCGACTTTTCTTTTTGAAAAAGTTTCAAACTTTTTTGTCAAAGAAAAAAACCCAGCAAAGATTTTGAAGTAATCAGGCTGGTTCACTAAGCATCAAGCATCATATCAACCCTTCAACGAGGCCGATTAATTAGTTAAAATCTAAGTAAATTTGTATGCTTTGACAGCCAAAAATGGAAATTAGCTTAGGAATTGTCAGTTGACCGATCAGCATTTCTTCACAAAAACAATGAAAACAGAGGAAAAAAAACTGAAAATCTATAAGGTAATGGATTAAAAAATGTACTTGCAGAGTTGGAATGGAGCAGACCTTTGAAATTCAGGACGGAACTCTCAACTCCGTGTAGAGTTTAAGGAACGAAAATGCCGTCCTCAAGTTGGAGAAAGCAAAGCTAGTTTTGGTCGTCTCTTCAGCCTACTCTTTACTTTGCTCGTTGGAAACGAGCCTCAATTAAATAGCCATTTGGTCGTCAATCTTTTACGAAAATGCCACGATGGTGTGTCTGATCCACACTATAGTACTGCCATATAGGGCGGTGGGATACGTCATCCTCCCTCAATTAAAAGTCGCCGGTTATTTGGACTAATTAGGTGGCGTTCGGTATCGTTTTCACTGCCTGTTTTCTGTTTTCATTTCCTGTTTTCTGGAAAATATCTGTTCGGTGGAACGTTTTTGTTTTCCCTAAAAATGTTTTCCAAAAACAAATCCAATTCATGAACAAAATTTGAAAACGAAAATATGTTGTTTTCGTTTTCAACGTTTTCGTTTTCAGTCCATACGATAATTCATTTTTTCCATCTCTCTTTCACCAATCAACATCGATTCTTGTCTTTGAAATTCTCCATAGCTATTCTTCTTCTAAAATATCTGAGATCTTGATTTACTTATCAAGCACACCAAACCAAGAAAAAAAAATTCAACTGAGGAGCACCACTGTGGAAACCCATCTCCACCGATCCAGACCCATCGTCTAGTTTGCCGCACCGGCACCTCCAAAGCACGATCACCACCAAAGCAGTCGAACCATAACTGCCACAAACCCAGTTGAACCACTATCACCACCCAATCGAACCACCACCAACCATTAACAAATGAAAACAGAAAGAGGATGGGTATGAAGAGGAAGAATCAGAGAGAGGAAGAAGAAAAGAAAAAATAAGAGAGGAAGAAGAAGAAAAGAAAAAATTAAGAGAGGAAGAAGAAGAAAAGAGAAAAGAGTGAAAAAGGAAGGAAGAAAGAAAAAAGAAACTGTCTGGGAAAGAAAAGAAGAAGAAAATAGGAAAAGAGAAAGAAAAAAAGAAAAAAGAAGGGCACGGGCCTAGGAAGGAAGGAAAGGGATAAAGAAAAGAAAGAGAAAAAAGAAATGAGATAAAGATAATGTTTGTCTTTAAAAAAAACATTAGAATTTTTTATTTGTTAAATTATACATTTTTTTATTGTTTATAAATTTTTGTCTTTGAAAAATAGCAGAATTTAAAAATTAAAAAAAACTGAAATTAGCAAAAATACTCTTGAAAATAACTCACATATAATAATTCCTCTAAAATATCATAATGAAAAAAAATTAGAAATGAAATTATAAAAAATACACCTGAAAAACAATTGTACTACCAGACACGTTTTCATTGTTTTTGTTTTCTGAAGATGTTTTCTAATTAATCTACCAGACGCATTTTCATTTCCTGAAAATGCAAATTCGTTTTCTTGTTTTTATTCTCTGAAAATATTCTCTGAAAACACTCTCCGAAAACGTTACCAGACGGGCCCTGAGTCTAGTATGATTGCACGGGATAACTCATCCGCGTGTTATAATATATTAGCCTTTGCGCAAGAGCATCCACGCCTATAAGAGCATCTCCAAGGGAGATGTCAAATACCAAATATCAAATTTAAATTTGATGGCTGATGTGGCAATTTGACATCTTACACAGCTTTACACTCCACCCGATATGTGAAATTAAATTATTATTTTATTACATTTTAGTATGGATTTATTTTTAATTAAAAAGCATAGAAAAGAAAAAATAATAAAATATTCATTTGACATCTTGCTTTTGGGATGTCAAAAATAACAACTCAATTTTCAGCCTTCATTCCACATCAGCTTTGACACATCGGTTGGAGTGTGTAAGATGTTATTTCTAGCTGTTAAATGTCTATATGGCACTTTTGACATATCGGTTGGAGATGCTCTAAGAGGTTTTCTTTAAAATAATGGGTAGTTGTGTTCTATAAAAATAGAATTCATTATTTGATTTTTCTTTTAATTTTAATATGAAAAAGTGTGAATTTACTATATTATTTTTATTTAATTAATTATTTCAATTCTTAATATTTGTATTAACCAAGAGTATTTTTCAGTATTTTGAATGTTTTACCATTCTCTGCCTTTTGCTTTATATATATATATATATATATATATATATATATATATATATATATATATATTATATTTTAAAAGTGATAAATTAACTACATTGTCCAACCAAATTATAGATTTTATCACATGCCAAGGTCCTAGGACTCCAACCTAAGACTTTGTCTCGGGGAACAATTATTTCAAATCACTACACTGGTGAGTCTTTTGGCATATCACGTGGAGTACTCATCACGTCACCTTATTCCAATATCATACAATAAGTTTTGGGTTTATTAAGTAGCTGACGACGTGGCATCTTGTGGTTGGATGGATAGCGTCAATCAGATTCGAGCCGTCATTCATGAGATGGAAACGACGTTGACTGTCTCGTCGTTTGATTTGAGTAGTTTATAGAGCGTGGAGTGAGCAGACGACAGGTCTTGATTGAGAAAATGGGGAAGCATCCGGTGCAGATGAGAGCAGTGGTGTACTCGCTGTCGCCGTTCCAGCAGAAGGTGATGCCTGGGCTGTGGAAGGACTTCACCGGCAAGATCCACCACAAGGTCTCCGAGAACTGGCTCAGCGCCACTCTCCTTCTCGCTCCTCTCGTCGCCACCTACACGTAATTCTTCGATCTAACTCTATCGTTTTTGACAGATTGAAAAATTGGGGTTTTCTTTTTCAATTATGTTGCTTAAATAGTTAATTAATAGTATTAATGTTCAATTGGTACTGGGAATTAGGAGCAGGTCATAAGTATTTGCGGTGAACTGTTGAAATTTATGGTCAAAATGTTGCATTTTGGACTGATTTGATTATCTATGGATATAGCTGATGAATTGGGGATTTTTTAAGACTTTAAGATCAGCTGAATTAGTAGATCATGTGAGTGTTTATTTTGGTGGGTTTGCAGGTATGTGCAGCAATACCAAGAGAAGGAGAAGTTGGAACACAGGTACTGAAGATGGGGGCCTTAGTTTGAGCGAACAAATATTGGAAATTTTCTTTTTAGCTGCAACTCTGTGTGCAATGACTGATAGACTCTCGTCTCTTATTGAAACTACACTGGTTGTAATTTGGTTGTTTTGTATTAAAATGAGATGACATTTGCAGTGAATTGCAGAAGGGTTTGAGTTTTATTCTTCTGTAAACAAGTTTGTAATTTGTTTGTCAGATTCTTGAAGTTGATATACAAATTCAAACTGCATAATAAATTGAGAGTGCAGGCTCTGTTTCATTCATCTGCGTTTAAATGTGTAGTAGATAATGAGTGCATGCTGTTTGTTATCGATAAGCAAAATCTTCGTAGGGTTTAGATGCAGGTTTGATGCAAGGTGTTTGGTCCTCTGCTGGTAGATGCTAACCTCTTAATGAGAGCATGAGGCCATGAATGAAGAACCTGCATTATGGCAAGGTTCTTCGGACATCAAAGCGAAAATTGATACCATGGATCATAACTATCCAGGTTTCAACTTAGGTAATGGGGTGCTGCCTGCACAGTAATGTGGTGGTGCCTGTAAAGCTCTAGTTGGTTTGGACATATGATCTGCAGGTTAATTTGTTCGATGAAGCTTGTGTTTGTGTAAGGACTGTGATGAGTTGGTTTATCATTATAGGGAACGACCAATCATTATTTAAAATCCCACGGTTTGTTCTAAAGCTAGCCAACCTGAGTGTGGCTCTGTTGCAGACTTTTTATTTTTAATAATAATCACAGGCAAACTTATTACAATTTGAGAACAGTTTTAAACCTTGTCAAAAATATACACAGCAGAAACTCAAAGTATACAACACTCTGTTCATACAATTTAAAAATTAAAAATAAAAATTCAAGCTTGTAATTAAAATTTTATATACCAAATGATGGAATAATTAATCATAATATTGTATGTGCAAATCTGCATTCAATGGCTGCTTTTGAAGATAATCATCATGTGCAGTGCAGCTAACTACAACTGGAAGCCTGAAGCACCAATCTTTCCTCTTTATCCAGGCCAAAAAATTAACATCACTAATCGTTTTATATGAAATGGTTCTGCAATTTGTGGCACCAATCTTTCCTCATCTCTCAATTCTGATAAGAATCCGGGAATGCTCTTGACAACAAAAGCTGCTTCATCCTAATTATTAAAGCAAAGACACCGTAGCATGGGAGATGCATCAATCCGACCCCAAGATACCTGCAAGGTGAGTGATCGTAAGGTAAACGATGATAGAGCTGAAACAGTTTCTAGCAAGCAGTTTTTATATACTTTGGTAAATTTCATATCGAATTTACTTTGCTACAATTAACAATAAGGAGGTAAACAGCACACCATAAAGGAGCATATGAGGATGACAAGTCAAGAAATGGATAGGGCCACCTGCAGTAAAATTAAAATATTATGAACAATAGATAAATTTCTTCAATTTCTAAAAGAAATGTAACAACTCAAGGAAATGTGACAATTTCGAGTGTAGTTTTACCACATAGATTTGCAAACATGTAATATCCACTGAAATATCACGAATATTCCCGTCCATAGCACAAAGTAAGCGATTGGAAAAAATGGAAACCGCTGGAAGAAGGAGACAATTGAATTTTTGTAAATCATTAATCGTGAAATAATAAGCAGAAATGCCATTATAATGAATAAGGAACCAAACTTACCATGCAATTCAACAATGCCTCGCCAAGGAGGAAAACAGCATTGATTGAATGCATACTGACAATCATCTGCAGTTGAATGGAGAAAAAACTCATTGCAAGAAGACAAAAACAGATAAACTGTCAATGAAATTACCAGGCTTGTATACTTACAAAATTCAGTTTGTAATCTGCGGCCGTTAGAAATGGATACAGAACTAGCCAAAATATGCAATCAGTGAGCGCAACGGCACCTCCACACATCTAACACAGAAAAAGAGGGAAGGAAATGACCAGGTTGAGATAACAGAACTCAGAAATTACCCAACTTATAAAGAATCCAAGTCCTCATTTCTAAACCAGAACTGCAGCCCCTTATAGGAGGAAACCTACCTGATAAATAATCTGAAAGATATAAACGCATGCACCTGCGCCTTCATGGCTGTGATATTCCTCGTCAGTTAAACTTTTAGATGCATTGGATGGATTACTATTCTCCCCAAGTGTTGGAGCAACATAAGTACCTCGCTCTTCATCCTCACCAACTCTATTGCGATACTTGCAAATTCCACGAAGAGAGAGTGAAGATGCCAGCTACAAAATGAAGTTCAGAGAATAAGTAAATTAGGGACAGGGACATTCAAGTAAACTAAGCACAATGGTTTCCATACTTCATTAATCGATTAAAGGTACTGAGACATTAACAGATAGAAGGGTTTTATGTGTTTTGAACTGAAAAGCTGCCGACTTATCCTATTGAGCATCTTTGAGTGGTAAGATTGGCCTGAGCATTCCAAGGTTCCAAAGAAAACTACTATTCTAGTTTCATATTTATCATACTTTACTACAATGTAAATGCAGGTATGTTCAAGACCTTCAAGTGTTGAAAAACATACCCCAAAATAAAAGGTGACCAAAGTAAATGTCCACCTGTTAAGCACAAAAAGGGAACATACCACATCAGCATATACATTGTGCAAATACAATTAGAGCAACGAGCTTCAAATTTGTTGGCATCGGCTCCTCGAAGAGATATTTTTGTGATTATGAAGATGAAACTCGCAGATACAGATAGATAGCTTACTGAGTATAAAAGTAAAAGATGCCGAATCCATCAAGAGCAACATTGGCAACTATCAAGCCCAACATCACAATGAAAGCAATTATTCTATAAGCA